AAACCATAAAACTCCTCAAAGAAAACATAGGAAGCAAACTCTCAGACATTACCCTTAGTGATATTTTCATTGATATATCTCCTCAGGCAAGGGAAACAAAAGAAAAAATAAACAAATGGGACTACATCAAACTAAAAAGGTTTTGCACAGCAAAGGAAACCATCAACAAAACGAAAAGACAGCCTACTGAATAGAAGGTATTTACATCCGATAGGGGGTTAATATACAAAATTTATAAAGAACTCACACAACTTAACACCAAAAAAACTAACAATCCAATTAAAAAACGGGCAGAGGACCTGAACAGACATTTCTCCAAAGAGGACATACACATGGCCAATACACATATAAAAAGATGCTCAACATCACTGATCATCAGAGAAATGCAAATTAAAACCACAAAGAGCTATCACTTCACATCTGTCAGAATGGTCATCATCAATAAATCAACAAACAAGTGCTGGTGAGGAAAAGAACAGCATAGAGAATGTAGTCAGTAATATCGCAACAAGTATGTACAAGTACAGTGCCAGGTGGGTACTAGGCTAACCGGGGAGATCACTGCATAAATTATATAAATGCTAACCAGTATGCTGTACGCCTGATACTAATACAATATAATACTGAATATCAACTGTAACTAAAAAAAAATAAATAAATAAGTTTTAAAAATCCCAACAGGCAGTTTTATTGATTTTCTTAGAGATTCAGGTCAAAGTAAAAACTATACAGGTGTACATGAAATGATAAACGTGTTTTCTTGTTTATATATATGCTTCATTCACTTATCCAATAAATCCTTTATTCAAAACTCATTGAATGCTCACTATTTGGAGAAACTTAGGGTAAGTGGACCTGATGGGCCAAGGCAGATTGTTTATGTAAATGGTGAAAAAAAAAAGGTGTAAAGGAAATGGGACCAAGTTGCTGAGGATCTAACTGAAGTCAATCTCATGGAAAGAGATTTTAATCTATTTTTCTGGATCTCAGTTTCTAGAGGCCCTGTTTATATTGAGTAGATCTGTTTATAAATCTTAAAAGTAGAATGTATAGTGAAAGGTTAATTTTAAAATTTTAAATACTATAGTATCCTCTCCAAAGACAAAAGTGGGGGATCTATGCGAGAGGATGGGGAAAATGTTGAGTCATTTAATTTAGGTGATATGTATATGGGGTTCATTGTATTGTCTCCATTTTAGTGTTTGTTTTACATTTTCCATATTATTTAAAAAGTAAGAATATGCAATCTTCATGTAGATTTAAGGATAGAATGGTTTTTGCAATTGACTTCCTCAATGAGAGAAAATCACAGGGATGCCCTGTACGAGAAGATGTATATAACATCCTATTTCCCATGAAAATGAATGTTAACTCCCAGAATGGCCTTGGAGATACATCAAATCAAAGTACTTTTGTGTTCATGTTGGACTGCCAAGCAGAATATATGAGACTGAAATACTTCTTAGCCCCACGACTAACAGGATCTCCATGTAGACATGATATTCTTCACTGGGTAATATAATAAGCAAAAAGGTAAAAATTAAAAATTCTACATTGCTCTCTTTGAGTACAGACTGGCAAACTATGTGCCTTTTAAAATATATATATAAATGAGGGTAACACTACAAATAAAACTCTCAAGGTTAAATAGTACATTTACTCATTTAGGGATTTTTTTTTTTCCCTGTAGTGGGTGAGTCAGATTTGCAGTAATCTGCAGACTTGCTATATTACAGACAGGCTGCATCTGAGCTGCAGTTTTCTGTAGTTACATGAATTGTTGTGAAATACCAAAGCTGACTGTTCTGCTTGTGACTAAGATACAGAAAGTTGCAAGAGGCTGGTGATTCCAACCTAACAACCAAAGCAAGCTGGATAAGCTATAAAATTATAGTTTTTTAAGACCCACCAGAGAGATGAGGATACAACGAAATCCAAATGAATAACAAGATCTTCATAGGAGTGAAGAGATCTATGGCCTCACCCCGGCAGAGTAGCAGGTGGAAAATACATTAACTGTAGATGGAGGTAGGGAGATATAAGCCAAAGTTTTAATGAGTTTTTAACGGCTGTGTGTAGACTGGGGTGACAATTACAGTTCTAAGGAGCCCTAGGCATAGATGGAACCTGCATTCACCTGCCAAACTTGCTCAGTCTTTGCTAAGTGCCCAGGCAGTATATAAAAGGCTGGAGGTTAGACAAGATTGCTGAGGGAAATCCTGCCTTAGACACAGACGCAAGCAAGCCACTTTCCTAAGATGGGAGGCAGGGCAAGAGAGCTGAGAGAAAACCCTCTGAGGCATTCAGGCACCTCTGATGAACTAAAGCATCTGCCCTGGGAAGGGCTGGAGGCAGAGCAGCTGGGCAAAGAAAGATCTCCTGAGGCTCAGAAAGCTGGGCATAAAACAAGATACAGAGCAGACCACTGGACACTCTGGGATGAGGGAAACGTCCTTTATCATGTTTTGGGTGGTGGTTACATGAGTGTATAAAATAGTCAAAATGCATTACAATGAACATGTAAAAACGGTGCATTATATGACATGTCTTGATTTAATAAAAAACAAAACAAAATGAATCTAATGTGAAAAACAAATACTTAACTGATCCATCCAATCACCCTTCAGAAGAGAGTGATGTTAGATTTTTGAAATCTGGTCTTTACCTTTCAGAGCTGCTAAGTGGAAGCCAACAGATCTTAATGCTTATGGTTTATATATACAGTGTGGATAAGCTGTGGCTGGTCTCACCATTTTATAGGGGCCTTTTAAAGAATTTTGTTTACAATATGAAGGAATGTGCCAAATGAGAAATCTATGGGAAAACTGATGAAGATAAGAAGAATTAAACACACGATTCCAACAATAAATGAAAATAACAGAAAACCTGCCTTTTTATCTTGAGAGGTGGTTATTTTAGGGTGCTAATCTCTGTCTAAAAACTCTAATGCCCCAATTTTCCTGCGTTTTTCCCCCCTGAAAACACACCCCTCCCACTAGGAAGAAGAAAGCTTGTCTTCAGCTAATGAAGCTGAAGGGAAAAAGCCTTCCTTCCTCAAACACAATCTTCTCAGGAGCCTCGTTCGAGGGCATCTCGCTGGTGCCCAGGGGCTGCATGTCACTCTTACAGCACCTTCTTTCATCATCTAACTATAGCTTCACGGAAAAGAAGGAAACTAAGTGCTGATGACTGTATGTCCTAGGAAAGGTTCAAGGTAGTAGACCTAATATGGCTGGGCAGACAGAGGTCTCAGGAGCCTGTCAGAAGCAGTGGTTTCCATGTTCTTTCCACGAACCTGAGTTATGGAGGCAGCATGGCCTACTAGAATAATAATAATATCTAAATAGACTAATAACAGTCCCCAGCAGTGACTGAGAGATAAGTATGTGTCAGCCACTATGCTAAGTCCTGCCTATCTATTAGTTTGACCCTTATAGTGCCTGTGAGGTAAACACTATTATCATCACCATTTTAGGGATGGCAAACTGAGAAGGTTCCACAGCCTGTTAAGTAGTGGGGCCTGCATTTGAAACCAGGCAGTCTGACCCGAGAACTCAGTATCTGTAAGTTCTTCTACATGAAACACTATTCTGATTCCCCAAAGAATGGAAATAGGCAGCTTTTGGAATTAGAAAGCTATATACACATCCATTACTGAAGTCTCTCCAGGACTTGCCCAAAGACAGGGCTTAAACATTCATTAAATTTAAAGCTTTCCTTGATTAGTTAGAAAAAGAATTAAGTTAGGAAAAATCTCTTTTTAAGTCAGTGGAAGTAAGTGGTTTATTAATTTTTATTGGAAATTAACTTATAGTTCTAATTAATTACAAATATTTTTAAATTTTTAATTGGATTTTAATTAAAATTCTTTAAGTCTAGAAGAAACTATTTTCCTTTGCATTTTTTTTCTTTGTATTTTAATTGAGTCCTTTCAGGCAATAGGCTAGCTGGCTTAAAGACTGAAAACTGAACTCTTCTATATGTGGCTTTTAAGAGATATATACACACTGTCTTACACACACACACACACACACACACACACACACACACACTCTCAAACATGGAAGAAATCAAGAGGCAAAGTTTGGGGAAAGTCGGAGAAAACTTTAAAAAGTTAAGAGAGCCACAGAATAAGAAAACAAGAGAGAAATAAAGTAGGGTCAAATGAGAGTTATGCAGGAAAGATAGAAAACATCATCTTTGAAAGGGAAGTTGTGGGTACTTGTTATATAATGTCTGCAGAAGTGTTCTGGTCTCCTGAGAGATGGGCACTCTATCAATACAAGGTATTACGGTTTCTATCTTTAAAACTGAGAGATTGATATTCTTTGGTCAGAGTCCATATCCAGTGTAGAAGGAACACAATTGAAAGTCTGAAACAGCACTTTCCCTTTTTCTTGAACACAAAAGTCTCCTTCCAGTGTGTGACCTTCCATACAAAACAGCTCATTTTTAAAGCTCAGTTCCAGTCTCTTAAAGATCCTTGGTTACAAGCCATGGGAAAGGATATCATGTGACAGAGGCACAGTCTTTTCTAAGTGACAGAGGAAATGTCCTGCTACAATCACCCTTGGTGAAGAGAACACAGCACCATTTGGTAGCCAGAAGAATTCTTAATCGTACTAGAAACAGAGAGAGGATACCAGGCTCTCATTTCTCTACTTCCCTCACTTTCCCTTGTGAAAATACTTGAAGGTGGCAATTAAGGGAATATAGCAATTAACTTCCTAAGGGGGTTTAAAAAGCATGTGGCAGAAGTAAATATTCACTTTCGATAAAAAAAAAAAAAGGTTACTAGAGCAAGGAAAGTAGGAAAGTGTTTTTTCTGTCTTTCCACTATCACTGATTATTAAATATGTGTTCATGCTCGAATTGCTGAATGTAGGAGACATTATAATAAGAATATACGATGAATGGTAGGTGGCATTACAATATGAATATAATAATTAGAGTACGCAATATGCAAGTGTGCAAGTGGTTTGAAATATTAAGTCACTCACCATATCAGTAGAAGATAGAGTTGGCAAATCCTCTGGAGCCAATGTAGTGTTATTAGATATTGAAATATTAACTGTAAGAAAAAGACAATTTTTACTATAAAAATAAAATACAAATAACTAAAATGCATAATTAATAATCTAAAAAAGGAGGGTTAGGCATTAAAAATGTCTTCAAACAATATAAGCATAAAGGCACAATGAATTATTCTTTATTATAACTATATTCGCCTTTCACCTAGATAAAATAACCAAAAGTTGGGACACATCTATTGTGCTCAAATCTGATAAGAAACAATGGCAAATATTTAATGAGATGGGATAAAATTTATTTGTTTCAGGTTTCCAAACAAACAAGCAAAAAAAAAAAACAACTTCTCTGTTACTAAAAGGTATTCAATATATTTTGCCTAGTACAAGAAATGCTGTTAGTAAGTTGATGACTGGCTTCATGTAGAGTCAATTTCACAAATTGGAGTTATACTAATTAAGACTTAACTGATTTGGGGGAAAAAAAAAGAATTAACTGATTTGGAATTTTTAGAAATTTAGACTGTATATAAGAAAGTATATCTCTGCAAACTGTGTAAAAACAAAAAAGTACTAAAATAATAAATTACACAAATATAACTGGGATGAATATTTAATCTGATTTTGAAAATTATTTTCATATACTTTGGCATCATTTGTAGATTTAAGATGTCACTTGCAGAAGAACCTAATTTATTTATTAAACCAACCCTCCTCTTGGAAATATTTTTTTTTCCTATTTATGAGTCTAAAATTAAAACATATTTTAAAAGTATTCTATAATTAAAACATCTTTCTTTATCAGATGACCCTTTTTCCTTTATGTGAAGTGTTATGTATAAAAAAAATTTTGTTACTCAGAGAATAGCCCTAATTTATGGAAATAATGTGAATGAACACTTATTAGGTTTCTGTCCTCAAGGACCACATATTTCATTTAACATCCAAACTGTTAATTATTGTTTGGTCCCTGAGCACCACCCCTTCTCCAAGCTCCTAACCTGTCCTGGTCCTTTTAGTTTGCCACGGCTCAGGTCTTGCCTACATAAACTTTTAAGGAGAAACAGTTAGCCTTATATGACTGTTGAAATTTAAAATGTAAGATCCATGAGGGAAGAATGGAGGAGCATGTCTTGTTCACTGCTTTTCTCCAGAATTAGCCCAGGCTGGCACTTAAGTCACAGGAACTCAAAAATATTTATGATTCAGGCTTTGAAAAGAAGGAAATCCTGCCATTGAGACAACATGGATGAACGTGGAGCACATTATGCTCAGTGAAATAAGCCAGACAGAGAATACAAGTACTGTATGGTATCACTTATAGGTAGAATCTAAAAGAAAAGAAATGAGAAGTGGAGAGAAGAGGAAAGGAGAGGGGAGGGGAGGAGAGGAAAGGGGAGAGTAGGGGAGGGGAGGGGAGGGAGGGAAGAAAGGAAAAAGAAAAAAGTCTAACTCATAGAAACAGAGAATAGAGTGGTGGTTGCCAGGTGCTGGGGGTGGGGGAAATAGAAAGAGGTTGGTAAAAGGATACAAACTTTCAGCTATAAGATGAATAAGGTCTGAGGATCTAATGTAAAACATGATGACTATAATTGATAATACTGTATTATATAAATGAAATTTGCTGAGAGAGTAGAATTTAAGGGTTCTCACCAAATAAAATAAACACGTGAGGTTCTGGATGTGTTAATTAAATTGGGAATCCTTTCACAATGTATACATATATGAAGTTATTATGTTGTAACTTTAAATATATTAACATTTTATTTGTTGATTAAACTTCAAAAAAGCTGAAAAAGTATTTGTTTTTGTTTGTTTTATAAATTTTATTGGGGAACAGTGTGTTTTTCCAGTACCTATCAGCTCTAAGTCAAGTAGTTGTCTTCGATCTAGTTGTGGAGGGCGCAGCAACTTGGCCCATGTGGGAATTGAACTGGCAACCTTGGTGTTATGAGCCTGCACTCTAACCACCTGAGCTAACCGACCGCCTCTGAAAAAGTATTTGTTAAGTGTCTATAAAAGAAGCTAAGAAAGGGGCCATCATACAAAGAAATGAAAGCAGATAAAAGCAAAAGAAATGAAATAAGAAAAGCAAAAAAAGGGAAGAAAATATTTAGCTTGAGTCCTAGTTTTTCTTAATTTGGGAATCCATTCTGATCTTTGAAGGCTCTGGAATTGTTAAGCATTTAACCTAAAGCAAGCTGCTGCCAGGGCTTCCCGATTTCCCCCATAAAACGAGCACAAATGCAAACTGCCTGTCTGCTTATCCTCTGTTTCACTACAGGTCACAGAAAGAATCCAAATGGGCTAAAGGATGCTTGGCCCAAACAATAAAACACAACATGAATCCGTTTCAAAAAGGAAGAAGATATTAATAAATTATTATTAACAAAGCCTGTATTTTTATTACAATTTTGTTAGAAAAAGCTTAAATTACATTTTCTTACACTATTCCATTCATTCACTTAAAAACATACAAGACCACATAACAGATATCCTTTTAGACCTTCCTATTGTGGATGGGATTCTGAAATGTGTTATGCCAGGTTTCTCACCCAGAATTACAGTCAGTCAGAAGTAAAGTTGGTACCAAAACCTTGTTCAGCATTCTTTCTTTTCCTACCCAGCATTTCTAATTATGAAAATCAAGATGATTTATGTGGCCACAGAAATCAAGGTGAGATAGTAGTTGCCAGTGTTAGACGATGTGAATCTCGACTAGGAGCTGAAATGTTGAACTTATCCAAGCGTCTGAAGGAAAACAGCATATGTGAAATCACAGGCACTATTTAGATGGTGTCTGGGAAGCTGCTCTTCCCGAGCTAGATTCTTTAATGCAATTTATGAGCTTCCTGTCACAAAACAGTGAAGGTCGTTTTGCAACACACTTTTTTGCATAAAAACAAGGAGCAAGGAGAGGGAAAGATAGGCAAGGCTCCTTCTTTGTGAAATGAATGACAGATAATAAAGACCATGAGTGAACTAAAATAGGATTACAATCTGAACTTTTAGTAACTGCTCTCGAGGTTTGGATACACATCAATTCTGCTCGTAAAATTCCTTTTATCTTTTCAGTCTTCCTCTGAGACAAACTATTAAAGTACACTGGCTCTCAAAATCCTCGAAGACCAGTATCAAAGAGACAGTAAAAGGTATAAACTTTCATCATTATTTTAATAAGAAGTTGCTTCAAGAGAGAGACTTCAAAATATACAAACATGCACTTCCATACACACACACACACACACACACATATATACACACACACACAGAATATGGTAGAGTCCATAAATAAGATTAAAAGTGAATTTCTTTAAATTCACAGAAGAGAAAATGATTAATTCTAATTGGGAGCTTGGTCTACAAGAGCCATTGGTCGCCATTTGGATCCAGACACATACGATGCAAATATTTTGGCAACCAATTGCAGAATGGTCTGTTTATATAGAATCTGCAATATCCTTAATTAGGATTCTGGAAAGGCCAAATGGGAAAGCCAAAACACGCTGCACTCTAGCTGTCCACTGTTTGCTTAGTACCATGGCAAAGCAAAGAAACTCTTTGCCCTAAGAGTCTGGCTCATTTAGGATTAGCCAATTGTTACTGGGACAGTCTGTGTCCCATACTTGGTTTCAGGGAGTTTCCACAGGTTGATCGTTTTATGTTACGTGGATTTTCACTTCTTGATCCTCCTTCCCATGTATCAAAATCTAGCTGATCCTCCGGAACGGGGAATGAACACTGTCAGTAATAGACATTTAAAAATGTGTCTGTGAGTTTTCAATCTTGAGCTGGTTTTTCCTTCTTTATGTTTAATGAGAGATCTAGAGAAAGAACAGGCTGCAGAAGCTATGAGCAGACACATCCATGTGTCATTGTACCCTCCTGCAAAGGGAATATCAATTGCACTGTTTAAGGTTGTCCTTCTTTACCCTCTAGTGACCTGGCACCAGGAACTATCCCATGACTTCTCTGGTTGATACATTAGAGGGAAATGTACCATCAGGAATACACACAAAAGCTCACTTGAAGCCATGAGATTGAGTACGAGCAATAACAGGCCACTGAGGCAGATCTGTCTGCCTTGAAGTACCACCACATCACAATGTGGGGAAAGGAACACTAGGAGACTGGGCTGGAATTCTGGTTCCACCACCTTCTGGAACTCAGTGTCCCCAAACTCCCTCGCCACATACTCTTCAGGAAGCTACCTCACTCCACTCGACGACAAGTCCCTCATTTGTGAAATCGGATTTGAAACCATCCACCTCATAAGGTTACTGTGCAGATTAAATAGGACATTGTTAGCACAGTGTCCAGTACCAGGTAAGAGCTAAATAAATGATAGCCAAGATTATTATCAGCTTTATGACCTGGAGAAGGTAGAACTTCACACCTGAGAAGAATGTCAGCTACCTTACAGGGTTTATGTAATGATTAAATACATATATATACATATATATATATTTATATTTATATATATGAATATATATAATAATACAATATAATATAACATAATATATATTAAAATACAGTTTATTAAAATCCCCTAGTAAAATGTCTGACATTTGGATGGTGCTTAATAAATGTTAGCCAAATCTGAATCTATACCCTCAAGATAGCTTCTAGGGTTACAATAATGCGAAACTGATTAACCTGCTCCACATTAAAATAAATTTAAGGGTATTCTTCATGATATAAAATTTTAATGTTTTACTCCATTCTATTTAAGCAACATCTTGAGGAAATTGAGTAACTGGAAAATAGATACAGAATAAAATTAAATAAGCTTCTTGCCTGCATGGTCATGTCAGGTTTACTTAAGAGTCCTGGACAACATGAACAAACAAGTGCCTCTTGATAAAGTCAAATATTCATGTTTCAAATTTCTAGATCAGTAAAAGCCAAATGGCTTTTGCAGGGATGACAAGGTGAATGAGGAAAACTTTCGCAAAAGCAGCTCTTAGGGAAATTACCTGCCACTATTTCAGCCTTTAATCTTAAAACAAAATTATTAGAAAGTTTTTCTTCACTTTTCCTTATT